GACATATGTACACAAACTTCTTCAGCGCTGGGCATAAGAGTAAAATACTAAAGGATTTTCTTTGGCGTACCGCCAAGTCAACAACTGTTGCTGAATTCAAACTTTGGATACAAAAAATTCGTGACGTGAGTGAAGATGCATATGGATGGCTGATGAAGAAACACCCTCAAGAGTGGATTCGTTCACACTTTCTAGTTCACTCCAAGTGCGACATTCTGCTTAATAACATATGCGAAGTGTTTAACAAAACGTTGTTGGGCGATAGAGAGAAAATGAATCTAAATTTGTTGACATCGGTGTAGATATCTTTCATGAAATGAATACAGTAGAGACGAGAGAAGATGATACGATGTAAAGGTCGTTTGTGTCCAAGGATCACGAAAAAGTTGCACAAGATCGCTGAGATGTCAAGAGAATGCACGTTACACTTGTCTGGGGGTTCCAGATGGCAGGTTGATTGCAGTTATGGGACTTTTGTAGTTGATCTCACAGAACATACCTGTGCATGCTGAAAATGGGAGCTTACGGGTATACAGTGTATGCATGTCATCGCAGTGATACAGGATTGTAGAAATGCACCAGAGGATTATGTTGACAATTGTTACACGATTGATACGTATTTGAGTTGTTATAATAATATCATGAATCCAATAAACGGCACAATGTTGTGTCTTGAGGTGGATGTCCCTACAATCATCCATCCTAATTGGACTACGCCTCAACGGGGAAAGAAATAGAAAAAGAGAAGGAAACAGGCGGAAGAAATTGTAGTGCACAGTCAGGGAAAGTCATACGTCACAAAGAAATGGCAAGTGGAAATGACGTGCTCGATATGTAGATTGAAGGGGCATAATAAAAGATATCACTCAAGCGATAGTACCCCGATCAGGATTGGTACGATGTTGAATTAGAACCAGTTGCTTCAAATAGCATGGTATCAGTTAACGAACATGTGAGTAAACATACAATTCACTTTTTAGTTACTCAACTACCTTTATTTATTACAGCTACATTTATTAACTGCATTTATCTATTGGATTACAGGGTA